TTCTCTCCCGCCACAAGGTTAGCGCGTGCTGCTGTAGCCTTAGGTCTAGGTGCAAATGAGGCTGGGTGTAGCTGAACATCTGAACTTGAGGCAGCCAAGGGATAACGCCTGTATTCCTTTACGCTGGCCACAAGGAGGGGAGAAGGGGGAACCCTTGCTCGGCGGGGGGGCAGAGCACGTGTGCAGGCTGGCACGGGTCTGCGAGCTGGATCTGGGTGTGCAGCACTCACAGAGGAGGGACAACCAGCCTTCCCGGCTGGGCAGGTCGCACACCTTTTCCTGGTGGCAGGGGAGGCAGGGCTGCGCAGCCTGACTCCTTACTGCCCCACAGCCAGACTGCTTGTTCTGCACGCAACAGCCTCGGTGTGCAGCGAGAGCATGGCTGCTTCCTGGGGAAGAGGGCGTCGAGGAGGCGCCCGCAGCTGGCAGAGCGGTTTCTGCAGCCCGCTGGCCGTTACCTCTTTCCTGGGGAGGAGTGGGGCGCAGGCTGCAGGGGTGCCCTCATACAGGGAGCTTTCTCTCACTGTTCCCATGAGGAGACAGGAACTGGCCAGAGTGAGACCTCAGTGCTGCCCCCAGGCTGCTATTTCTTGGCCCTCTCCTCCAGGGAAAAGAGCTGCAGGGGCAGGCTTGAGGCCACCTGAATTTCCCTGGCAAGCTGAGGTTGCTGCCGGCGGTCTGAAACCAGGGACTGCGTTGCCGAAGGATAAACCTTAGAACAGTGTCTCTGCTATAACTTGTTACTGGTAATGCGCGTCTCGCGGCTGCTGTCCCTTGCTGATTCATGGTCCTTATTCACTGACTACGATGAACTTCAGGAATTGAGGAGAAGGGTTGCTATGCAGGGATGAAGGTGGGAGAAGATACGTTAGGAGCAGAACACAGCACTTCTAGTAACCTTCTAAACTGTAGCTGCTTTCCTGTTTCTGGTCTGTTAGCTGGCTGTGGGGGTGTGATCATGTTTGTGAGGCCATCGTTGTGGAGGCTGCCCTGGTCTGTACTGTAGAATAAAAGTTCTCATCCCAGGCTGTGAGTTACAGAAAGCCTCCATCCTCTCAGCCGGTGGCTCCCGTTTTCTTGTTCTGACAGTCCTGCAGCTCTGTCCGTCGCGTAGAAGTAAAATGTCTTTGGTTGTGGACGTAGCTGCAGAATCCCCTCCCTGAGCACGTCAGCCAGAGGAATTGCAGTAGTTTCACGTAGTTTGTCGGCAGGCAAACAAACCTCGTCTGTTGAGCTTGCGTGTATCAAGTGTGTTTGGTTTTCTTGGCGATGCCTCTCAGCAAGTTTTGCGTCTTGTTTCTTAGACCCTATTGATTATGACAGTACAGCTATTGCAGTTCATTTCAAAGTACGTAAAAAATATTCTTTTCTTGGAGACCATGTGCCTGTTTTATGCTTTTTGAGGAAGTGTCTCAAAAGCTTCCTAGAAGCTTTATGACAGATGTAATTAACGTATTGCAAAAGTGACGGGGAAGTGGTTTGTAAAACAAGCTAAATACAATTCTGTCCCGGTTTATTCTTAAGCTGCAGAAATGCCTGCAAAGGGCTGTAGATTTTTTTTTTATTGTTATTTTTACAGACCTTATCTGAGTTTTGATTTCGAGTTGTGTTTCCAGAGCCAGTTGTTCTGGGGCTTGTCTGTTCCATTGAGCTTTACTTGACATTCTTCCGCTAGTGAGCTTTGGGTCTGTAGTTGGGAAATATCGCTGAAGTTCCTACATTACGCACTGGTCATTGAGCCTTTACGTAGTCAATGTGCTCCTGGGAAATCTCTTCTCTCTCCTGTGAGTTCCGTTAAATTTGGCAAAGATCAGCTGCGTGGACCTTGTGCAGGCAGCGTTTCGGACTCTGACCCTGGCTGAAGCCTACGGATGTCGTCACAGTGCCAGTAATGGTTTTGCTAGGGGATTTCAGCAAAAATCATCTCCTGCATAAACGCAGCTGGACGTACCGTCATAGACAAAATTCCACTGTTTACTTTTGCAGCAGTAGTTCTGGGAAAAAAATAACGGGAGTTGACCAAATGTTGGCTAATAAGTGAGGAAAAGTGATCCGTAACGCATGCTGGGTGGGAAGCTGAGTCGGCACAACTGAAAATGCGTTCAGTGGTCTCTGCTTCAGTAGTTCCTGAACTTGCACTGTGCTGTGATCGTGCAGGGGACCAGTGTGGCTTTGGGATGCAGAGGCAGAAGGACGAGGCTGTAAAGCAGAACGGGACTGAGCCGTGGCCGTACACAGGCTTTTGTGGTTGGTTTCGAGAACCACGTTACCGAAAATCTGTGGGCAAGCTGTAGGGAGCAGAGCCCAAGACGAGAGAAGGATGGGTGGAGGGACTGCCTTGTGAGACAGGGCTTAAAAGTGCCGGGCGCATTGCTCTGTTTTTGGAAGTAACAAAGCGAAGGCTGTAATTTTGGGAACGCTTGAGTAGGGTAAATACGAGGGAGGCAGAGATTTATTCATTCATAGCGTTGTAACTAAGAACAGCGGACTGAAGTGAAGAGCGAATCCAGACCAAATTGGAAGATGAACTTCCTTAGAGTGAGATTTATTAAACTGCAATAATTTTCCCAAGAAAAATGCTGATAGGTCTCTGGCTTGCGATTCCAGAAAACAACGCGAACAGCATTAGTGGAAAAAAAAATAAAAGAGAGGGCTGGGTGCGATCATTTGACTGGACATTTTTCTCCTGGCTTACTCTGACAGAATGTCAGAAAGAGCCAGGTATCCTATCTGGTGTTGCCCAAAATATCAGGAGAGGCCAGAAGTAAACTGTAAGCGATGCCTCCAAGGGATTTTGTAACAGATCCATTTAGAGCGCTCTGAAAGCCAGAATCCGCAAAGCCCACAAGCTTAAACGGCCATTCAGGGCATTGCTGGTCTTTAGCATTCTTTCGTTTTTATCCTTCATCCTGTAACAACTCCCTGTATTGGCTGGTGGATTACTGAGCAGTTTTTTCTTGCCCAGACAAACTTTGCCAGGCAGATATGATATCTTGGCTCATCTTTTGGCTTGCGTGTGTTGTTTGCACTTGCATGAAGAATGTGATACCCCCATAGTGCAAGGTCTGTAACATGCAATCCGCTGGAGGAGATGAAATGTCTCTCTCAGTTCTAGGCTCGGGATGAAGGATTGCAAACTTTTCAAGTTACAGATGCCTCTGTTAATACCATTTTCTATTTCAAATCTTATTATTTTGTCTATTCTTTTTAATAGGAATAAAACGTAAAATTCAGAAGCTGCTTGGACGAAGAGATCGGTCTGATATTTGATTAAAAAAAAAAAAGACAAAAATAGCTTAAAAAGATGGAGATATCCAGCTGTCAGACAACTGCCTAATGGAAAGATACTCTGTGCTTGGAGAGGTCTTTGCTTTCATCGTGTGGTCAGCTAAGGACCTCTCTTGTTAGGCCAGGCCCGAGTGTCTTTCCCCTCTTGGCTGAAAAGGATGGCAGATGGTGTCTGAGCCTCGCAAAGAGAAGGACACGGTCTGAAACGACGTACCAGATATATGCACGCACCCCATATGTGCTTAAGGAAAGGGCACAAATTTGTGCAATTGATATTCAGTAATTAAGGGAAAAGATGATTTTCACAGCTTCCTCTACACTGGTGAAATATGTAAACCAGTGCAGGAGAACAAAGCACCCTTCTGACTCATTTGTTACTGCTCCTAGCGTGCTGCCATCAGTAAGTAGTGCAGCTCTGTGTCCCGAAAGGGGAGTGTCCCTGTTCTCGGTCTCTCCCTGGGGTGTGTGTGACTGTCATCCCCTGGTATTATTTTCTAAGCTCTCTGAAGACATGGTGTCACATGATTTAGCCAGCACAGTGAGATCTCCAAGGCAGGAGACAGGAAATGAATAATATGCAAATGTTTGATTGTTAAGGAAAGACATGGAAGAAAGTGAGAGGACAAAGATATAGCTCTTTGGTGATCCACTGTGGTTCCCAGAGCTGTTGGCACTCTGGCTGGAGGGCCCCGGGGGTTTGGTAGAGGCTGTGCGCTTTGGGTGAAGCAGGTAGTCTCTCTGTAGGACTAACCCTCCCGTTTGGACAAGAGGCAGTAGGAACTCTAGGGTTCATTGAGTGAAAAGGTGATGGTGTTTCTGATGAAAGGTTGGGGAGATCTTGGAGCCGTGGTAGAGAATAAGAGGGGTTTCCCTTTTTGTGAGAGAATGGGAAGCGCAGATTGAGCCGGGTGGTCTCTTACCTTGTTTTTTTCTTCTCCTCTTTTTCTCATTTCAGTTCTGCTCGAGTCACTCAACAAGGATGAACAATCGTCCAATGGCCAGCCCCACTCCAAGGAGTCCACAAACCCCCAGAACAAGAAAACGAGTGGAGACTTCCCATCGGCCAACGGGGAGGCTGGCGGGGAGGCTCCCAAGGGTTATACTCAGGACCAGGTGGATGCGGTGAAGAGGTGCGTGCGCAGCTCTCCATGGCTTTGACCCACTGTTTGTTTTGATTTTAAGATGTCGTTACCAGTCTGGGTTTTGCAGTGTTTTAAAGATATGAAGATGGAACATGAAGGAGGAAGGCAGAGAGAGTAGGTTGGAATTGTACGATAATTCATGTTCCATACTGTGTAAGGAGATCTGGTCAGCTTTGAACCATCCTGAGTGCTTTTTAATTGGCCAGGTGTTAAAAAGATACCTAGGAAGTATCTTTATTGCCCTGGGTGGCAGCTGCATGGGATCTATGAAGGATGAGGCGTTTTCCCAAAGGCATGTACAAATGCTAGAACTGTAGCTCTGTAAGCCTTTTCCTGGCTGAAGTCCAAAGAGGCATTTTGGAGGCATGCATTTCACGGGTTTCACATTAATGCTTGTTTTAGTGCTATTCAATAATACTGTGAAAAATCCCAGTCCTGAAGCGTATGAGTGGAAGTCATGACTCGCAGCTTGCAGCAGGCACCCTTCCTGCTCTAAGCTTTGCTCTAGTGACAGTAACCATTGAGACAGGGCACATCCTTGTCCCGCTCTCTTGCTCGTTTTGTACTCATGGTCTCTAGAGCCCAATAAAATAGAAAGCCACCGCAGGACGCTTTGCTCTGTTAGCACGATATACTTCTAAAGCTCCTGCTGCAAAGTCTCAGGGCGTGTTTATCCAATCTCCAGTCTTCCAAATACTATTTCAGGTTTTCTTTATTCCTTTGTACCATTCCCAAATGTTGGAAGCTGAAGGGCTGAACTGTAGACACAACCACTTGGTAAAGTTTGTTTAAGGGTATGGATATGGTTTGAATTGTGCAAGAACTGCTCTGGCTCATTGACTTCTGGGTGTATTTATTACGCCATCCATTTCTCCAAGAATCCAGCCTGCTCTCCTCTGTGTAGACGAAGTCATGTGGAAACTAGAAATAATTATGGAACTGTGAAGGTACGCAGTATGAACTGGGCTGCTCGCACAGGCCTGGGCATCTTCCTGTTTCTTCCTCTAGAAATCAACTGATTTTATTTTTTGGTCTGTGAATGAACTAAGTCTGGGGGGGAAAAAAAACAGAAAACAGCTATCTTTCAGATTCTGGCTGCCGTTTGTAACCCCTGCATCTCCTGTATAGCCACCAAAATGTGATCACGATGAAGCTGAAGCTTATTTGCCAGTCAGATACTTTGCAGATGATCTCATTGCCTGGGCAGAGGCCCTTCTACCTTTACTGGCTTGACTTGTTCTTTAAGAATGTTTGTGTGCTAGTAATGCAGGCACAGTGTGAGTGAGTATCTGAAAAAAAAATGGGTCACCCCCTGAGGAATTAGAACTGAGTAAACCAGAGTTCACTGAGCAGCACTGATCTAAACTGTCGTGCGTGATGTTGCAAAGTTGACATATTCGATGCAAAGAAAGTTCCACAGCCAAAACTAACTGTCCATGTCCTCTCATCTTTCTACTGGTAGGGTAAAGCAGTGCAAAGATTACTATGAAATTCTGGGAGTAAACAGAGAAGCTTCTGATGAGGACCTGAAAAAGGCTTACCGGAAACTTGCGCTGAAATTTCACCCAGATAAGAACCATGCGCCAGGGGCTACAGAGGCATTTAAAGGTAAAGTACATTTCCAGCTTCGTGATTTACCCTCAGCCGTCAAATGTTGGTGCTGAGTTGGGCTAGCAGGAACTCTAAAGACAACCTCACGAGTCCAATAGAGTGAAATATGTAAAGCTTCTAACAGTAAGGTTGTCACAATGCCACAAGTCTGAGCAGGAAGAGCTGGGAAGTATGCTTAGATGAGCTTTTGCCTTGCAGTTGTGAAGGCTCAGTAGTTACCTGTGGGCCGCTACAGGTAACTGCAGGCCTTTTATCCCTAGAATAAAGGCAGTAGAGTTACCCGAGAACTCCAGTTATGTCAAGTAAAATAAAGGAAGTGTAATGGTGATCATGCCACTAGGCTTCCCCTAGACCGGTTCTGAAATTGCTCTGCTCAAGAGTAAAATGAGGGCTTTTCCGACAGTTGTTCCTGAAACCAGCCCTGCATTCAGAATCTACCTTGACGCTAATGCCCAAGACTTACCCTTTTTCACCTCAGTGGTACCTGCTGAGGGGACATGGGCATTGGTGGTGGTACTCTTGTCTGTGTGATTTGGCCTGCGGGATTTTAAGCAGTGGTGATTGATGTGGTGAGAACTACCCCGTTGATCTGGATCAACGCAGTAAATTTCCAGGTGGCTAGAAACTGTGTTGTCTTTTGCAAGCTGTGGAAGTTTGATTGTTATCATTTTACTGAACAAACACAGAACTTCTTGATGCCAATTTTCCATCACTGCTTTTTGCAGTGTTAAGCCATTTAAATACTGCGATCTGATTCTAGCCAGCTTGGGAGGGAAATACACAGAACTTCTGCAGAAACAGGGAACCAGGCCAGACTGGTGTGAGCGTATTGATACAGTATTTGGGTATATGCTTTTAGTAGACACAAATTCAGCAGTAAAAGTCTTATGTAAGGTTTGTGCAAGTCTTTTAAGACTTAAATCCGTGACTGATAAGTGTGTTGCTGTTAGCAAATAATGAGCTGACCCTCAGCTACTTGGGAGAGCCTTTTTTAGTGTGGGGTCCAGATTAAGCAGTGAGTGTCTGTAGACATGTATCCTCATAGCATGTGCAGTAAGCCGCTGTTCAATAGTTTATCTTTCAATCCTTGCTAAGTGGCGAAAGGCAGGTTTCTTCACTTGTAATCTTAAATAATGGTGTTTGCCGAAGGCTTTGACAAGAGTTACGTGCCAGAAGTCGTGCGTTAAGCAAGGTGCCCTTTATCCTCCATTGCGGGGCTATCTGCTATCAGGTTATCTCTCTTCCCAGCCTTGTCTCATTGGCTCTCCGGTCCTTCAGCCCCCAAGCTGAGCTCCTGGTTTGCAGTGCTCACTAAAGTCCAGCTATCTGGTTCCAGAGGGTGAAGGGGGAAGTGTACACTGCTGTGAGGATTTTAGTTAATTTTTTCTAACATTGATGTATGAACTGATGTCTTGGCATTCATCTTCCCAATGACAGCTGATAAAGTGTTACGTCTTGTCCTGAGACCTTGTCTCAGTCCATAGTTGCAGTTGGCCAGAGTCTGTCTTGGAGCAGGTTTGCATCACTCTCTTTGGCTGACGTTGGAAAAAGAGTTGAACCTGGCTGCTTGGAGCCAAAATCCTGATTTGGAATGAGATGTTTCTTGGGCTTTGTCAGCAGAAAGTTAAACAATGAACGAATCCTAAATCTCTCCTAAATTTAATTGCTTAACATACGGTTTGAAAGAAGGAGCTAATTTGCTGAGAGTCAGCCCTTGTAGTCTAGCTTTCTTGCTTGGTTGTAGAAATGTTTGCACTGGCTGTGCTGAATATAACCAAGACTGAGAACAAATATGCTGACGTTACATCCTCCGCTGTCCAGCTCTCTAGTCCAAGAAGAAACTGAACACCTCGGTGTGGCTACTGGCAAAATTGTGACTCTTAGGGCTCATCTGCTCAAAAGGGCATGCATCTCCCTTCTCCGTCACTTCTGCTCCTGCCTTTTTTACATCAGTCAGCTCTAGTACCATGAAACGGTACTAGGTTTACTAGTTTGTTTTTTTTTTTTTTTTAACCTCCTTGCGGACGCAAGGAGGAGAGAGGAGGCACTCCGCAGTCGAATGCAGAGGCTCTTGGGTGGGCTGGTACTGAGTGGAAGCGGTAAACTGGGGCGTGTAAAGAAAGAAGTACAGAAATAGGAAGGTGGCAAGCAGACATTTTTGGCAGCCTGGTTCTTACGTGCTGAGGTTGGAAAGAGAGTTACCTGGGAAACTGGCAGGGATTTAGTGTCAGTACATTTCCACTGTCACGGGCGCTGGTTAACCGTCCTTGTAATTATGCACCTCACTTCTGGCATCTGGGAATTGTTTAGCTCACAGACATAACCGTTAGCCAACGTTTTCTTACTAGGTCTTATTGGAGGTTTTAAAGCCTCTTTCAGTGATGTAGGCTATAGTTAAATCCTTTGCAGTTCTGGTTTCAGGCTGTAATATTGAATCCCCATAATGCTGCTTTTGGATAAAAAATTGTCAACTAAAATCATAATTTCCTGTACAATTGCTTACGGCTGAAGGGTTTGGATGTTTGTTGTTCAAAAGAAATAGCAAGTTTAATTAAGTGGAATGAGTAGCTGCTTTCTTACCAGAATTTCATAGCAATTCATAGGTTCATTCGTCTGGGAGGATTTCTTAATGGGCACATACCAAATTCAAGCCAATGATGTTATAACTTCTTAGCTGGAATTAATTAAGGCCTTATTCATTGAGTTTGGTGGCCTGGTTTTCTTTTCTGTGTTTGCCAGAGAAGTGTGCCAGGTGCTAGTGCTGTGCTGCGGAAGTAGCGTTCTGAAAAGAGTTGCGTAGCTGAGAGTCTCGTTTGTGTAATGAGAAAGGCAAGTCTTGCCAGTGTGCAGGGATGAATGTATTATTTCTAGAAGAAAGAAGCTAATTGCTTCCTTATTGCCAATATTTCAGCCATTGGTAATGCATACGCGGTATTGAGCAACCCAGAGAAGAGGAAGCAATATGACCAGTTTGGAGACGAGAAACTCAACCCTGCTCGGCACGGACACAGTCACTCAGACTTCCACCGCGGGTTTGAAGCAGACATCTCCCCAGAAGACCTCTTCAACATGTTTTTTGGTGGTGGTTTTCCCTCTAGTAAGCCTGTTAACCTTAATCTCTTGAATGGGACCCAGTCCTTCTGACAGGGCAATAATGCAGTAGTGATTTATTTGGCGGTGCAAGGGCTGGGTTGAGAGCTGTGTTCTTCTCCACAGCCAAATTTGATGAGAGTTCTCCTTCACAAGTGCTCTAAACACCTAGAGGTTTCTAAATTGTTCAGATGGGTTCTCGCAGAACTTGGCAACCAGCAGGTAATAGCATCAAAGCCGCGCTTCTTCCCGGCTTCAGGGATTTGTTTACGTGCTGGCAACATTCACTGTTTTTAGGTTGGGTTGAACATTAGAACACCAATAATTTGTTTTAATGCTAGTTGTAAAAGTAATCCTATTTTGAAGAGGACTTTTCTGCCTGGTGGTTTTAGAAGTTAAATCTTCTCATCAGAAGAAACTCTTATTAACTTCTAGGCCTTGCCCTTGATCTGTATCTGCTCTGCCACGCAGCTGAAGCAGTTTCTCTGAGATCAGTCTCCACTTCCTTTTTTCCACTTGTCCCATAAAAAAGATCAAAGTGTTATTTCTAGAGCATAATTTAAACGATTTGAATTGAAAGTCAAATCACTAGCATGTCTATACACAATGCTGATCATTGTTTGGGAGCAGGAAAAAACAGAGGGACTGTTGTTTCTCTTGATCCGTTTAGATCAAAAAGACACATTTAATATCAGGGTAGGGATATTTTAGAAGACTCCCTTGTATTTTCTGTAGTCATATTTGGCTGGAGGTGGAGGCTCTGATTATTTGGCCTCTCTGGACAAACTTGGAAAAATAAATATTTCTGTTTCAGCCAAATAGATTGAAAGTAGCTGACTGAAAGTAGCTCTTTCCTATCTGATATATAAGAATTAACACACTAGCGTCAAGTACTTGAAACGGCATCTTGAGGCCTTTTGTACTCATGTTCTGCCTGTTGGAGAGGTAAAGCTACTCCAGTAAAAACAGTGAGTTGCTATTTTAGCTTAATCTCTTTTCCTTTTCTCACTGTCCCATGGGAATTCAGGATCAGTTTCTCAGCTGGTCTCCCTTTTCAGCTGTAGTTTTGACATTTAAGACAAGGCATGGAAGAGCTCTGTTTTTATGGTGGGAAAAATACGAAAATGTTCTCTTTTTAGTTTAATTCTCTTTTAATTTAGATTTTTAATCTAAAATGAAATTCTATTAGAAGTGAGGAGGCCTGTACAGGATATTCTTTCTGCATAGCTGAGGCTCCTTCAAGCAGGAGGTTGGACTAGATGACCTCTTGAGGTCCCTTTCAACCTGAATTTTCCGGTGATCCTACAAAATCCTATAGCTGGATCTCTGTGCCCACCACCAGTTCACCTTCAGACAAATCTACTCGGCATACGTTCCTCTTTAGGCTGTGGCTTTGTCCATAGCTCGTTTTGTAAATGCTTGACTTCAGGCAATACGTATTCATTGTTTTGTATAGATTCGTTTATCAGTCTCCTGTGGAGTCGCATATCCCCACTGCCCCAAAGCAACAGCAGTCTCTGGTGAGCTGTTAAGGCTGACGGGACCTGCACCCCTGTGCACTGGGACATAACGTGCGGGTCTCGGGGCTAACCGAGCTCAGTAAGTCACCGTTCCGTGGAGACATCCCAGCTCCGGCCCAGAAGCAGCCTAGCCAGGCCGGTGTGCTGTCCTCCTTCCAGCTCTGCGCTGGCTGGCCTGCTACTGGATGTTATGAGGTAGGCCGACCTGGGAGCAGTGGTAACAGCAGACCGGATCCGAGTGTGAGCACGGTGTCGATTCCCTTTACGTTATCTCCCTCTGTCCTTATATCTTTGCTGAATGTGCCCGAAACCAAAGGAGCAGATTTAGCCCCTTCTGACAATGTTCAGAGTGAACATTTCTGAATTCGCTGTGGCTTTTTAGCACCCTGTCTGCTTTATCTGTCGCCTTTTTAATTGGTGAGGCTGATGTGGAACGTGGCCATATTTTTTGGTTCCATCCTAGCCAGCCCATGCAGTGTTATGTGCTGTGAATGCTTTGTAACAGTTTTCTTTTGCCTGTAGGTAACGTTCACGTATACAGCAATGGCAGGATGCGATACACCTATCATCAGCGGCAGGACAGACGAGAACATCAGGGTGATGTGAGTGGAGAACAGCCAAAGGGCTGGGACTGTAAAAGTGTTTCCAGTATACAAATTGCAACTAGCTAGTGTGGCTATTTTAAGGAGACGTTTCTTGTTTTCACCATCCTGGGCAGAAAAAATGACTTCAGAATTTACAAGAAGCTGCTGGTTTAATTAACTGGTGGTTCTCCTTGGGCTGTCGTAGCTGCCTTCCAGTGGAGAAAACAGTGATGTGTCTTGAAACAGTGACACCCTGAAATAAGATTGCCTCGGTAAAATGTATTTGTTTTTAACACAGGATAAACATTTCTTTTCTCATTTAATCCCTTAATTTCAAAAAGCCAGTCCACCTTTCAGATGACGTATACTCTTGGCTCCTCCCGGCGTCTACTCTTTCTCCCTGTTATTCCAGTATTTAAGATGGGGTATTCCTAATCTGTGATACTTAATTAACCAAGGAAAGCACTTCATAACGTGATCTATTTTTATGTTTTTCATCACAGAATCTAAGTATGTCTCCAGCACTCCAAGCCTTTTAATCTAGAGAAGTGAGAATAAGGGACTGTTACGTAACCCTGGTCTCTTAAATAGTACTGAAGATTGCTATTTTCTGGGGATAGCCAATGATATGCTTTAAAAAAAAAAAAAAAACAAGAACTTCCTGCATATTTTTCCTCAAGGTTAAAGGTGGAAGGATGCTCTGCTAGAACTGGAGGGAGCTCTGGAGCTGAGGCAGAGGGGAGATTACTTTTATCTGACATTGAAAAAGGGGAGAGTGCTTTCCGTAAAAGCAGTTGTGCAGTTCTGCTCACTGGTTTGAGCAGGACAGGAACTGCACGGTGGCCTGTGCTCTAGACAGATGAAATGTGGGCGTGAGGCTTTTGAAATCCACTCACAAGGCTTCCCTTGCCAGTCCCTCCATCCTTTGTCACGTCTGCGGAAGGGGCAAGAAGTCTGGACCTTCAGAGTAATGTTGCCCTTGCTGGAGGGGAGCTGTGAGCCCGCTGCCTGTGAGGAGCAGGAAAATGGAGGCTGTGCTAGGACTGCGAGGGAGAGCAATGCTACAGGGTCCTTGTGTACGAGTATACGGATGGCGCTCCACTGTGTGTTTCTGTTCTTCAGGGTGGCCTTGGGTTGTTTGTCCAGCTGATGCCTATCCTCATCCTGATCATTGTGTCTGCTCTCAGCCAGATGATGGTCTCCAGCCCACCCTACAGTTTGAGCCAGAGGCCGTTAGTACCTGTTATTCTAAAACTTATCAAACTGGGGTTGGGGTGGGGTTCTGGAGGGCAGGGTGGCGTTATGGGGTAGGGAATTAGACTGTCTGGTTTTCCTGTCATTTTTTTGCTTTAGCTTGTCCCACTGTTGCTCTTACTCCCAGATGTCACACACATCAGGGAAGACCTCCTGGTTCGCAAGCAGGTCTTGAGATGGAAGGCGCAGGCATCTCTCAGAAGGTGCACGCTTGCCTGACAGAGGGTGTTCTTTGGCCGGGAACTTCTGCAGCCCGTTCCCGTTGCTGGGTGGGAAGGGGACAGACTACGTGACTTGGAGAGGCTGTAGCCCACTGGAGCTGTTTGAATACACTGGGATCCCATGTGCAAAATGAACCGAGACGTAGAGGGGAAATTGGAGTGCACAGAACAAAATCAGATCCTGTTCTTACGAAAGCCTCAGCTGCATTTACACCTAGTACAAAGCAATACAGAAGGAGGAGAAGGAACGAAAGGCGCAGAACAGCAGATGCTCCCAAGGAACCCCCCTATTTTTGAACTCTAACCTTGCCGTGAAATAGCTCTAGCCAGAAATGTGCTATCCAAAACTGATGCTGTCTCCTTCCAGATCCTGTGGCAATTCCATGGTCTGATCACTTTGCAGTGCCAACAAGAAAAGGGAGAACAGGCTTGATTTCTGGCTGCCTGCATCATTCTTGACAAAGGCTCAATATATTTCCAATGGAGTTTGTTATGTGTATTTGAATGGCTAGCGGAGGGTAGATTTGGTGATAGGCAGTGGGCCCTGTGTAGTTTCACTGACGACAATGTTTGCCGATGATGACCTTAAATACTGTAAAACCCAGCTTAGCTTTCAAGTCCAAGGCGGAGACTGGGACAGTAGTGCTTAGAACCAAAAGATGGAGTGTTTTTGAACAAAGCGTAATTGAGGGCCATTCTGAGAGGCTAAAGAGTGTTTAGACGTGATTTCTGTAGTATTTGTTAGGACTATAAAAACGAGCATATATGTATCTAGAGCTGTTTGGTTTTATCTTGGCGAAGAGGGGGTTTATCAGGTGAAGAGACATTCAGCGGAGGACAGCTTTTAGGTGGACAGGGATTTGCTTCCAGCCTTGTCGGCTGTCAGAGGAGAACCGTTCTTCAGTCCCAGCTATTTCTCTGCCACGCAATTCCCCATGCCGAGCGTGGGACCCAACTGAGCCCTGCATATTAAGGCCTACGCTTGGCTCTAAGGCAAGTGCATTTTTTCTGTGGGTTTGACCTGTAGCTATTTCACATCTTTCTTCGGGACAAATTGGGTCTCAACTTTGTGCTTCTCAGACAAAAGCTCTGTGGCGCGGTGCAGTTCCTGCCTCGGCTGGACACTGGCTGGGACACTAAATTAGACTGTCTCTATGTGCTCAGCTAATGCAAGCACACCGATTTCGAGCTTGGACAGGAGAGGCAAATGAGCGGATCCAGTCGTCTGTCATCTCGTTTGAGTGGCCCCGGCACTTGAAACGAAGCAAGCTGAAAATGCATCGTGTGCCGGCAGGCGGTGCTGCGTGCGTGCGTGCTCGCTCGCTCGCGCAGGCAGCCGGCCCCTTTCTGCTGCCGGATCTAGAGGGAAACGCTGTGCTCGGCTGTTGTTTGGCAGAGAACTGCGGGCTCCCTGCCGTGAACTCAGGGAGCAGGAGGCGAGAAGCTTTTGAACCTGGCAACGTTTGATGACACAGAGAGGTTTTGGTGCCTCTTGTTTATAGAAAACTGTCACTGTGAGAGTGGCAGAGTCCTAAAGAGCCTTCTGTCCCTCAGTTCCCTTTGTAAAGCTCTTTAATTTAAAAGATAGCTTTCTGCTGGAAGAGCTGCCTAGCTGTGTGCCTGTGTGCCTTTGCTGCCCGGCGAGTCAGGAAAAGCCTCATGGCGTTTGCCCGACTGAATCGCGTGTCTGACCTCAGGCGGCAGGTTTCTTGCGCCAGGGCCTGCCTTAACCTTCTGTACAGTCAGGCACGCTGCTAGAGCTCTGCCAGCGCAAGATGTTCCTCCTTTGAGGGCACGCTTTGAAGCCTCCTTCCTTCATCTTTATACAGAAGAGGAAAACAAACTTTCGGAGAGCTTAGGGCTCTGTCTTGACAGGTAAAACAGTGAGCTGAGCTTCTCCCAGGCTGCCTCTCTGCCAAAAAACGCTGCCTGAGATGGGCTAGCGTTTGTCTTGAAAAACGCGGAGGGTGCTTTTTGGCCTTGTTAAGTCTGTCCAGTTGCCCACCGCTTGTCCCTGAAAGCTGGTCCCTGCTGAAACGTGCAAGGGTGTTGGAATCGCTCCTCTAAACCCTGATAACAGACTGAAGGGCGAGCCAGATGAGTTAATGTTTATACCTGGCTTAAGAATCAGGCTCGCTTTTAATGCAGCAGCCAGCTGGTATTTATTGTGGGAAATTTTGGGCACGTCTCCAGGTGGAGCTGTTCCTGATGAATCAGTGTTTGGGCACAGGTCCTCTCTTAGATTTGCTGCAGTGCTGGGGAAAATAAGTGCACCCACTGAAACGCGAATCTACAGGGGCAAGGTAATAAGAGATTTCCTTCTAGAAAGTGCTCTCCGTACTAGTTGGTGCAGGCTTGAGTGCAGAGTGGATCTAATTTTGTTCTTGCAGCAACAGCGTTTGCTGCAGCATGTGACGCGGTAGAGGAAGCTGACGCTCCTGGGGTTAGCAGATAGCTTCAGAGAAGAGAGCAAAGGGGACTGGGTTCATCTGAGAGGCAGTCTTGCTGAGTAAGTGGGACTGCTGGGGAGTTGTGACAGCCAGCCTGCGCTCCGCTCGGACCCCTGCGCTGCCTTAGTCCTCTGCGCGGACACGTTTCTGCCTTGCTGGCTGGTCTTATCCTGCGTCGCAAACGCATCCGCCTCCGAGCTTTATAACCAGCCTTGGAGCTCACCATCGAAAACAGATGATGGTGTTGTCAGCAAGGAAATTGCAGAGGGATTTAATTAGTGCTGACAGTTCTAATAAACACTTTATTTTAAATGGATTTAGTCCTTGGGCACTCTGTCTCAGAGAGATGTCTGTATTCAGAGCTCTGCCCACCTAGCTGGAGCCCTGGCAGGTTTTCTTTCCCAGTGTTAGTGTTTCACTTCCACCAGAAATGCTTCTCCTTACCAAAGCTTCAAGTTTGTGGATGCGCAGGAGCGATACATGTTTTCAGCAGTTTGGTATCGTGTATGGCATGTTGGGCATTTTAAAGAGCTGGGAGCTTTCTGCTCTGCCCTTGAAGCGTGCCCTGTACTGTTCTGACTTTTCTCCTTGAACTAGGTCTGTGGGTCACATACACAGGAGGGTGACAGAGCACTTGAAGGTCGTCTACTACGTCTCTGAGGTCTTTGCAGAAGAGTACACAGGCACGAACCTGAAAAACGTTGAAAGGAGCGTGGAGGATGACTACATCGCAAATCTTCGAAATAACTGCTGGAAGGAGAAGCAGCAGAGTGAGTAGCGTGGGGTCAGGAATGGAGGGTTTTGCCTGCGACATGAGGTCTGAGAGAAAAGTCTGTGATTGGAGACCGAGTTATGCTAAAATTATAGTTTTAATGTGGTGTGAGGGCATTTCCTGGGTTTTTTTGGATTTAGACAAATCTAGTCTGGTTGTTGGGTTGTTTTTTTTTTTTTTTTCTAATGCTGCTGTAGCACTGGTCAGACGTGTTGTGCCCCAGGGACCCCCTTGCTGTTTCAGTCGGGTATCTCTAATTTCCAGTGGGGGTGGAAGGTTGCAGACATCTGATTTTTCAGGAGACCCCGGTGACTCTGTGTAGTATTTTAGTTGTCCTCTTGCGCAGAACAGAATGCCTTTTGAATATTTCTGGCGTATCCATCCAGCTCCCAAAATAGGCACGTCTGAAAGTCTGCTGCCTGTGATGTCCTCCATCCCACGTCCCATCCCCGCTCAGAAAGTTGTTCTGGCAGCACTGAAATCATCTTGCGTGTTACTGAACGAACACAGGGATAGGAGGGACTCCGCCAGTCAGCGCGTGAGATAATTTGGCCATCTAGCCAGTCAGCACGGTGTGGCGCAAACTTTGCAAGCTCAAGAACTTGAGTTGCTTCCTGTTCCCAGCAAAGTCCACGGGGTATTGGTGATGGATGGCCTGGCGGATGATCTCCTTTCACATCGTGTTTGTAACGCTAGGCTTTTCCCTTTGCAGAGGAAGGCTTGTTGTACCGGGCACGCTACTTCGGAGACTCAGATCTGTACCAGCGAGCACAGAGGATGGGCACTCCCAGCTGTAGCAGACTGTCAGACGTTCAAGCCTCTCTGCACGGATAGTCACTGCCAGCCCGCTCAGCAGAGGTCTAAGTACGAGCTGGTGGTGCTTCCCGTGACACTGAAGCATGGCACATCAGTGCTTTTAATACTTACTTAAATCTCTGTTTGAGACGCAAGTCTTCATGAGTCTCCTCTGGATGCACACACGTAATGGGGGGAAGCGCCGCCCTCTGTCAAGTGTACACACTTTAATTGGGAAATTGATTTTGTTTAGTTTGCATGTCAGCACCCACAGCGCTCTCCAAGCTCACTGTTTTCTCTGGCATTGTTGGTGTTGGTTCTCTAGGAAAAAAGCAAAAGCCCCGGGCATGTTGGTGACTCAGCTGAGTTCTTGTCAACCGTGCATTCGATACTGTGGCAGTGCGTGCCTTGGCTGGTTGGAGGTTTTTTCCCCGTATCTTGCAACGCCTTTACCAGCCTTGGCAGCCAGCTGCCACGTTTTAATGAACCTTTTCTGTTGCTTTATTGTCCGTTTTATTGAAAAGCTGTTATCCCATGGCGCTTGAAGAAATACGATGACAGGGAATGGACTCCTACAAAACAGGTGTTCCTTGCCCCCTGTGGCCTTCTCGTGGCACTCGAGGAAAACAAAGCAAATGGTCAGAGTTTGTAGCAGGCTGTAGAAGTAACCTACTATGTTAAACTGGGAAACAAAGTGAAAAGAGCTGAGCACAAGTCTGGGAGACTCGTGGGTTGGAGAGCGTGAATTAAGGCAAGTCTAGATAGAGGAGACCAGGTGCACCGGGTCATAGGAGAGCTGCATGAAAATAATGAAAAAATTGGCATGGAGTTCGGAGTCCCGTTTCTGCTCGATTCTTTGGGCTGATTTCACCTACGAGGTACTACTAGGACAGCTGTAAAACCTGCAGGCCTCCTCTACCCACAGAACTGTTTGAAAGTGGGGTTTCTTCAGAAAATTGAAGGTGAAGCTCAGAGCAAGTTTTAGTTTTGTGGACACCATTTAGGCCTGCAGAGACTTCTCTGGGACAGTGGATACCTAGCCACTTGAATTGCAGGCACGAGTAGGAAGGTTTAGCAGTGGAATTTGTGTTTATTTTCTTTGGCAAGTAGAACGCATCTAAAAACTTGGCCCTTAGATCAAATCCTCTGGGTCATGTTCTGCCTTTTTTTGGGTGTATCCTGTTTTTGGAACCATTCTTATCTTGATACACCCGCTGTCTTGTTTTGATAACTGCGCCTCTTATTTAATGAGACTGGTATTAATTGCCCGCTTTTCTTTGTGAAATGCAGCACTTCTCTGTACCCGTGCTCGGAAAAAGAGAAAATCGCTCTGAAACAGAGGGCCCGCTGCACGTGGAGTTGGTGCGGCTGAAAAAGCCGTCTCCTGTAGTCTAGGGGAAGGGTGGCAAAGGGAGGGGGGTACTGCGACACGTGGTAGGCTGGAGACTGACACAGTTACCGCTTTTATTCCCAGACTCTTGAAATGCCTGAAGACTTTTGGTGAAGTGCACTGAGCCAAGGTGACAGACTTTATATTTAAAGAATCAAACGTTAAATTAAAATGGAATTGGAGAATTAGCAACGCACAACTGCCCTCTTTCTTCTCTCTGTCTGTCTCCGCCGTTAGACGTCTCAGGCAGCAATTAGAACAGGAAATAAAGGTGCCGGTCTTCCTCCCTCCCTTCCAACACCACTAGAGTGCGACAGCCTGGTTGCTCCTAGGATACCACAACCATGAGAACAAACGTGTAGAGTGTAAAATAATAAAAGAAGCTGCAGAAGCCACGAAGCAAAAGGAGACCCTTCGTGACTGCACTGGTCACTTCTGATGGAGAGAGAAATCGGACAATTTGGGGATAAAAGAAAGCTTACAAAAGAAAATATAATCTATTTAGAATTAATTTATAGCTGTATATATGTTGTACTTTTAAACTATGCAGGGGTCGGATTAAATTATTTTGTTTTCTGCCAGGTTTAATAGACAGGGAAGCAGGAAGCCTCTCTTGCCAGGGTGTCCCACTCCACGGAGCTTTCCTGCCTGACGCGCTCAAGCAAGGAGCGCTTTGCAGTTGCTGTATTTTGCTTTCTTGAGGACAGCAGCGCTCCGCGGCTTGGGTTGCTGATGCCTGGCTTTGGGGTTTTAATACCAGAATTGTCAAATCCGGGGGGGGGGAGAAATTATCCGGACTTGCGATTTGGTTTTGCGACGTTGGCAGAAGTTAACAGCAGGTCAGCTGAGCACTGGAGTCTCGTTCAGTGAAGGAAAGGATTGTCCTAGATGGTTTTAGCTCATCAGTTGTTCAGTTTATTTGTGCGTGTAACTTTTTTTTTTTGCAGAGTCTGCTTTCATTTTGCCTCGTAATCAGCGTGCAGCGTTCGTTCTGTAAACAGGGCTTTCCACCAGCTGCGTCCCTTTGTCACCTTTCTTTTTTTTTTTTTCCCCCTAAACTTGGGGTTCCTCTCCCACCAGCACTCCTACTTGTAACGTGACTGTGGCCTTGACACGATATTTCTGATGTTTCTTCGAGGAGACCTGTAAAATATTAAAATCCATAAAAAAAAAAAAAAAACCACCAAAAACGGAGCTTTGCATTGCTTCTGTTGAAAGAAGTTTTGCTGGGGGGATCAGCCGTCAGCGGGCGTCCTTGATCTCCTCGCGTTCCTGACTGAGCTTTGCAGAGCGCTCTCGCTAGATCACAGCTCCAGGCGTACCTCTGTTGTAGCGACAGCTTTGCCAGTCCGGCGTTTCAGAAGCAGGAGCGACGGCGCCGAAAGCCGCGGCTTCCCTGCTGCAGCAGGCAGGACCTGGACGAGAGCAGCGGGCGAGCGCTCGCGGTGACGCCCTCTCTCTTTGTCGCGTGCGCGAGAGAAGCAAAAACGGAAAGAGCGCAAAGTTACCCTCGGTGGAATAAACTGGATTTTTTTTTTTTTTTTTTGTACCCCGCAGTTCATTTTTTGTGTAAAGACGTTTCCTGTGAGAACCGTCCCCGGCACCCTTAGGGGAGTTAATGAAAACAGCAGTGGCTTCTGGGTAGGGTGGCAAGGGCTGGAAGAAGTGGGAGGGAAGATGGTTTTATTTCTTTATCGTTAGAAATCCATATGCTCTGTCTTTGGGTTTTTATTTATTTTGCAAAATATCAGGCCTCCTGTTAACTGTAAGCCTTATTATCCCACAGCTCCCGTGACTTGGACCTGATTTTTTTTTTTTTTATTGTTATGATGATGATGATGATTCCTCCGTCTTTGGAAGGAAGTTGGGGGAAGTATGGCATTAAAGTAACTCGTAATAGAGGCACAGGCTAGTTGGCACGAAGCGATCGTGGGGAGGGGACTTCAGTGAAAGTCGCGTTTGCGAAAGGTGCTGAATGTCTTGCAAAACGGCGTTCCCTGGCCAGAGCCTGCCCGCCAAAAACCTTTCGATTTTTTTGGAGTAGGTATCCATGGATAATATGAGCGAGAAAGCATAGATCCTAACGGATGCTCCCAGCAGCTGTATTTCTTGATTTAGAATTAATTACCAAATTGTACATCTATAAATAAATGTTTATAACGTGAGAGGGCTTCAGCTGTGTTTGTGTCGCGCAGACTCTCGCGTTGCGCGTCGACGGCTGGAGAAACTTGCTCTAGCTGCGCACGAGCTCGAAAACTCGCTCTTAGAGAGTTGCCATCAGCGATTTGTCGTCACGTTGTCCGGGGAGGGGGACGCGGGTTCGCTTTCAACTGCTCCTAGCGGGGCACCTCGGGTTGGCAGCCCCTCTCCTCCCTCCCTCACCTCTCCTCGCTCCGGCGCGTCCTCACGTAGCGTTTCCTGCCTGCGCATCGCTCGCTCGCTCTGCCTCTGCCCTGGTTGTAAACCCCGTTGGAGGCGACGGCTTTCTGCTCCGGCCGCGCCATGGTTCCCGCGCCGGCTGGGGGGGGCCCGGCGCGGAGCCCTTCCGGGGCCCCGC